AAGTGACAGGTGCACACCTAGGTGCTTGAGCAATGACAACATCTGCATTATCTCCAGATACTCAGGCTTGGGGGACAGACTGACATGCCAGCAAGTACAGAAGCCACAAGGCACACACCACTGAGAGAGAGGGGTGGGAAGGTGTTCCCCACAAAGTAGGAACCACTTCCACATGGGGGAAATCAAATAAGGAATAAGCGAGTACGCCAAGCCATACATTATAAGCCAGCAACCAGCATTCTCCAGAACTAACCAGCCCCACAGACACAGGACTTAGACACACATACTGAGCCTGTTCCCGCTGACTTTTGGTCACAACTTTATTGAGCTCTCACACTATCTATGTAACCCTAGCCCAGCTGTTTTTGGAAATAACAGAACCTAAAACATATCCTATAAGACATGGTAATAAATCTTTGTTCCCTTTGGCACTTACATACAGAATTTTTACTACGCTGATTTCCATTCACTCAATTTTGTTTCTTTCTTCCATATTTCCTATGCGTATCCTAACTCCCCCATTAGTCTGGGGGATCCTTAAGGGCAAGGACATTTCCTCCTCTGCATTGCACAAAAAAAAAAAAAAAAATCAACACAGAATGAACATATTCAATAAACAATGCTAAGTGGTTCCCGTCATTAAAAGTGTCCACAGCAAATTCCTTCCTCCTCAGAGCTCTTCTTGGATCTGAGTGCTACCTGGGCCTCTCCTATGCTGATATCAAACAGTTATGTTCTTCCTCAAATTTGTTTTGCTCTCACCAGGTCCCTTTTCTTTCTAAAATCTCCAAATTATTTTCTTACTCTTTGCCCAATGGATACTGGATATTCATGTAAAATAGTATTTCTCTATACTTCAAAGTCTAGCTCTTGGTAGGATGCTAATGAACATGTATCAAGTGAAATATTTTTGAATTAGAAGATCTAGGTCCTAACCTCTAGCAGTTTAGAAGTGCTTAGGTGTCATGATTCATTCCCACGGCTAGCATCCAGGGGCTTAACTAAATCACTAGTCCCAAACCTGTTTGGAGATATTTCAAAGGTCAAGGATCAGGTCTCATTAGCTGGAATTCCACTGACCTGACACTCCTTCCTGGCATTGCTCATTGGTAGTTGCAAGACCAGCAAGGCCTTTGGAAGCCCTGCAACCTACACACCACCCACGCTGGGTTGGCATACCCGCTTATTGCTGTGGCTCCCCAGAAACGGGAAAGGGCCTGCCTGAGGGTGAGAGGTCAGAGTCCAGAGGAGTCCTAAGGCATCACACAGTCTTACCGCATCAAACTCCGCTTGGTCATCCTCAGGTAGGTCGCTGGTTTCATAAACATCTGGCTCGTTCCTGGCCTGCAGGTAGAAGCAGTGACCACCCAACTTCACTACGGAGCAATCAACGTCCCTGACCCTGTTCCATTTGAACAAGTTAACAGAGAAGCCAGGCTGTGATGTCAGGATTCTGTCCCTTCTCTTCCACCTGCCCGGTTAACTGCACGCCTGTTCCCATGACTTAAGAGGGATGGGGATGACAGTGGGGACAACTGGGACCTGATGGTAAATGGTGAGTGTAAGTGATGACAAAGACGTTACCCTGAATCTGAAGGGGGGTGGCTCCTTGGCAATTATTATGGCAAAGGTAGACGAGCTATCCTTGAATTAGGTCCTGTACACCACTATCCTGGCACAAGGATTTAGAGTGACTCAGGACCTTAGTACCCAAGATCCTGTGTCCCAACCCCCACCCCAAGAATGTAGGCAGGACAGCAGAAAAGGGTACGTGACGGCATGTGCAGGGTAGGATGGGGTTGGGGTGGACACTCCCAGGAGGACAGAGTTCTCCATCTGGCACAAGAAGGGTTCTGCCACAGTAACCTCTTCCTTGGCAGGTTGAAGGCCATCACTAAGTGGCCTGGTATGTTTCTGGGGTGGGGATGGGAGGCTTATGGGAAGATTTGGAGAGACATGGGTGGTGTTGACGCGGATGGTAAACACTCGACCACAAACGGTAAGGGCCCGGAGACAATTTCTGGGCCGAGAAACCGGCGACTGCCGGAAGAGGGGCCTGGTAGGCCGTCCCAAAGCCCGGCCCAGTCGGGTCTGAGGAGTCCGGAAGATGCTGCGGCCCGTCCGGGAGCGAACGGCGGGAGCCCTGGGGGCGGAGGAGGGGCTGCAGGCGGGAGGGGTCACGGGTTGGTGTCTGTTGGGGGTCCTTAGGAGATTGGGGGCGCGGTCCTGGGGAGCCGGGGCCGGCCCTGTACTCACAATGCCGGGAAGGTCGGCGTATTTAGGGTCCGCCATGGCGGCGGCGAGGCGGGGCTGGGGGACCGGGGACTCGGCGGAGCCGGGGCCGGTGTTCGGGTAAGGGACAGGCTGGGTCCGGGTCCCGGGCTAAGGCGGCAGCCAAGGGAGCGGCGGAGGAGGTGGAGAAGCAGGAAGTCTCGCGATATCAGTAGCACAGGAGAAGGGTAAAGCAAAAATCGCGAGAGCAGCCCGCTACCACACCCCTGGAGAGGCCGGGGTTGGCGAGAACGAGGCCAGGGAATGAGGTAATGGCGTGGGGGGAGCCGCCTAGGATTGTGGGATATGTAGTCTTGACCGACCCGGGATTGGGCGGAAGGCGACCCCCACCTCAGGCACACGTCCCAAGCCACTTAGTGATGGCAGTTATTTCATCCAACTTATTTTAATTTTTACATTGTCTGTGAAAAGAACTTTTATAATTCCTGTTTTTCAGATGAATAAATTTGCACTTCCAGAAATTAAATGACTAGATAAAAATAACACAAGTAGGCATACTGTGTTAGTATGTAGGCAGAGCCAAGACTTCAAAAACAACAATAGCCAACAACAAGTAAACTTTAATAAAGTCTCAGTCACTTTTAGAATGAAAAAGTTTAGCAATATTCTCAATTTAGAGCTGTCAGATAAAATACAGGACGCTAGTTAAAGATGAATTTCAGCATAAGCAACTAATAGTTTTTTTTAGTATAAGTATGTCTCATACCATATTTGGGACATAATAACAAAAAAATTAGATGTTTTAAAATCTGAAATTCAAATTTAACTTGGCATCTTGTTTGTTTTTCAAACCTGGCAATCGTATCTCAAGTTCATATATAGGTAAGTGGTGGCTCTATGTCTGAGTACCCTTTGTGCTCTTAGTCACTTCACTGTTTTCAGACTTTTGAATTTAACAGTTCAATAAAATTAAAACAACAACAACAACAAACCTTTGCGAGGACAGCTATGGTATTGTTACCTTCATTTTGCTAAGTAAGCACATTTAAAAAAAAAAAGAAAACTTACTACTTAACAATTGCCATCATTTCTTAGCAGAAAAGTAGGAAGGACATACTCTCAGAATAAAAGACAGTCCTTTGAAATTTAATAAACCCTGATTTATGAAAAACTACACTGTGTGGTGGTTTTCTTTTGTTTATTTGTTTGTTTGCTTGTTTTGGGGGAGTGCTTATCCATAAATTTTTGTTTCTGACCAGTGACCCTCCATGGACTAGCATTTTGAAAATCCACTAAGGATACCACCCTGGAACCCGTGGGGGCCTGAGGTTGGTATGTTTCCCAGGATGTTCTCTTAGCTTGTAGACTGCTGCAACACTTAGAAATAGTACCAGACCAAGTGACCAGAGAGATGCCTATTTTCCTGAGTTTGGAGCTCACTGTCATTTTAGTGCATACTTTCCTGGCTCCTCCCCATGCCCCAACCCCTCCTTTTCCATAATCCTATTGCCTTCCCATTCAATGTCTTATGCTGGACCCTTTTCCTTCAGTGTCCTTAAGATTCAAGGTGGGTATAGGTCCAATTTGGAAAACCCTCTCAAGCTGAGTTCTGAGTGGTTAGATCTTGTCTGGCGAGGCCATCATTCTCTCGCCTTGCCTCAGAGTGTCTAAGTGACCTTAAACAATAGCTAGGCAGAACCTCCATCCCTTCCTCCCTTCTCCCATCACCCTGCTCCACCCCTTGGCCTAGAGCCTCAACTCCTGCAGTCTAACTCTGTTGGCCAGCAGAGGCCTGTGATATGGAGAAAAATCAATTCAGCCAGTTTCTAGATGATTCTGCCCAGGGGCTGCAGTAGTAGTCTGACCTAAGGGGAGGAAGGACAAGGAATCTCTAGGCTTCACTTTTTTTTTTTTTTTCAGGGAAGGGAAAGAAACAGAGAGAAGGCCTGAGGAAAGAGGCTGGGATGCTGGGACTCTGTCCAATGGCGACTGGGACAGGAAACACACTCATATAGGTTCCTAAACCTGCCTAAAACCCAAATGCAGATGTCTGCCCTGGAAGTCCAATTTTAAAGTCTCTCTGGCCTTACCTGTCCCCATCACCACCCCTCCTTCACTGCTTTCTGACTCCCTTCCTCTTGCAAAAGTTACTCCTGCCCACCTCCATCCCAGGCCCAACCTATGAAGCAAAAATGAGAATCTTATCTGTTTTTGAATTCTGATAGCCCAGAATGGGAGTTCATCTTCCTTCAAACTGGAGACCTGGCACGTATGTTGGGGACAGAGTAGAGTGCACCTCTGAACGTAGAGGGGATGGGAATAGCCAGACATCTCCTGATACTCTTCAGTGAAAAATAGGACTTGGACACCCACCTCCATAAGGGTACAAGGAGCTGCCCTTGATGGTTGAGTGGGTTGGAAATCAGTGCGAGGCGTGTGGGGAGAGGAAATGAGAAGTATGCTCCCAATTTGGAGGGGATTGTGACAGGGGCGGAGGATGCCCTGGGGTAAAGGGGGTGGAAACGCTGATGATTCTCTCCCCTAGACAGGCAACAGGCTCACAGCAGACCCCTTATTCCTTCCAGAAGAGTGGAGTCTGAAGGAGGGACAGACAGGTAAGGGATGCAGTGAATGACTTGGGTGGGGAAGGGGTGAGGGCAAGTTCATCTTCGAGAGGTAGGGGTGAGGAGAGGAGGCAAGAAGAGAGGAAAGGTGCCACCACTCTAAGGTGGACACCCAGGGCCAGGCGCCCCGCGAGGGAAGCCCCGCCCCGCTCCTGGGTCGCCGCCCCGCCCAGGCCCGCAGCGCGGCGCTGCAGCGCGAGGGGCGGAGAGGCAGAGCTCCGCGAGAGGACCAGACGCCTAAAGTCGCCAGCATCCCGCTGCAGCAGAAGAGAGGAAGTGCTCCCGGGCCCTGCTCCTCAGCCTTCATCCGGGCGCTCCCAGAGCATTCTTGGCCCGAGATCGAGCACCTGTCCTCCGACTCGGCCTCTGCTGAGCTCCCGCCTCCGAAGCACGCACCACCCCTGCCGCCCAAGAAGTGCCCAGCCCCAAGACGGCGACCACCATGGCAGAGACCAACAACGAATGTAGCATCAAGGTGCTCTGCCGATTTCGGCCCCTGAACCAGGCCGAGATCCTGCGGGGGGACAAGTTCATCCCCATTTTCCAAGGGGACGACAGCGTCGTTATTGGGGTGAGTGCCACCCCAGGAGAGAATTTCGGGGAGGGGGCGGGAGGTTGAATCCTACCCCTCGCTGGGCCTTAAGCCCTGTTTGTCACTCTGCGCCCCCTCCCCGCCGCTCATCCTCCATCCTTTTCGCCGCAGCCCCTCCTCTCCCCAGCATCAGGATGGCTGGGTGTGGCCTGGCCAGGCCTGAGGCCCAGTCTCCGCAGAGTGGGAGGGGGCTACTTCCCCGCGATCAGGTCACCCAACTCCCCTTTGCTGCCCTCTGCAGCGTCCCCACCCTTTAGAGCCAGTCCCATGTTTTTCTGATGTTTTGCCTCTCCCCTAGAGGAAGCGCATCTTCCCTTTGTTATTGGCTCAGATCTCTACCCCCACCTCCCAGGAAGGGAGGGGGAAGACTAGTGGATGGACTAGATCGAATGTGGGCAGCCCAGGGTCTCTGCGGAGATATAAAAGAGAATGGGCTCTAGGACCAAGCCCTCCATAATCTCTTGAAGTAGTTAATGCCTGGACTTGGGTGGGGAGGGCACAGGTCTGATGAAGGATTTTCTGAGAAAGAAATACATTGATGACACACCCAGGTTTTTTGGTGGGGAGCCTCTGGGGTCCTAAGGAAATGTCTGCCCTTCTCTCCCAGGTACAGTAGGAAGAGGATTTCAGACCCACCCAACTCCCCTTAACAAATAAAAATAACCAGACCCTGAGATCCTAACAAGTAGTTGCTTATTCATCCTTTCTCTTGATGATCCAATAAAAAAGTAGCAAGCCACCTCTACCTCATCATGGCAGCCTCATGGAGGAGATCTTATGAAGAAGGAAAACTAGTATTTACTGTGTGCTTGTTACTCTACATTTATTATTTAACCCTTAAGACAACATTCTGAAGTAAGCGTTAATATTTCCATTTTACAGATGAGGAAACTGAGGCCCAAAGAAGTTGAATGACTTTCGCAAGGTCACACTGTTAATTCATAGATCTGAACCTAAATCTGTGACTCCAAAACTCATGTCTTTTCCTCTGTGTCACACTGCCTGGACCTTTATCTGTGGTGGCCCAAAGGGAATTCCTCACTTACCCCTCCTTTGCTAGGTTGGTAGGGATTGTCAGGCTATGGGGCGAAAGAATTGGGGTAGAGTCCAGTAGTGCTTCAGGGGTGCTAGGCCAGGAAACTGTAGCCAGTTTGAGAAGGGAGGGGCACATATGAGGGCAGTCCTCAAGGTCAAGGGCACTTCTTATGTGTCTTTGATCCACATACTTGGCCCAAGGCATGCTTGTTAAAAGAATGAAGGAAAGAAGGAGAGGGAGCCTGGGCATTCTGAATCAGTGAGAATGGGACTTTTGAGTAAACATGCCTTAGTAAGAGATCTGCTTACATGCCCTGTCCTCAAGGGCCTCAGTCTGTCACCACGCTGAGATCTTTCACCCACACTGTGAACTCGAACGGGTACTTTTTGCCATGTGTGTGTGCTTATGAATGTGTGTGTTTACCACATAGAGAGGGCCCCTATCTCTCTCTGCTTCAGGGACCTTAGGCCTTACACTCTGGTCAGTGGATCAACTCTGGGGGACTCCTCTATGAGTAGTCTGGACAGCAGGCATTAACTATGAGAGATGGAGCTTGAGGTCCCTCTGAGATATAAAGGCTGAGAAACAGGAGGGAGGTGGTTATGGGGGAGTAAATCCACAAAAGGCTTCTACTTTTAAGCCCTACTTCCTTGCTGTAGGTTTTTCAGGTAAGTCTAAACCAACTCCTCTAGACTCTCTGGGCTGTTCATTCTGGCCAGGTGAACATGAGGCATGGGATGATGTTGGGAGAAGGAGTTGTGGTGTTGATCTGTCCAATTTGCCCAGCTAAACAGGAAAGACACCGTGGAAGATGGGGTAGGAGGAGAGGCCCAAAGCCCCCTGCCAGTTCAGATTTTATCTTAGCTCCACAGCTGGTCCTTCCTTGTCTGTTTTGCCTGATATTTGCAGGGCTGTACCTTTGTCTCACTCTCTATCTTCCCTTGCTCTAGCCCTTCCTGTCAATCTCCTACTCCAAGATAAAGACTTACGGGAGGGGGGCGGGGACGTGCATTTTGGCTCAAGCAGCATCCTTAGAGCTTGTCTTCCCAGCCTTGCTATTCATTCCTCACTCAGGAGGATGAGGGCTATAAGAGAAGTGATTTTTGAGGAGACCCTTGAGGGTTCCAACAAGTGAAGCAAATTTCCTTCCCCCTTTCCTCTTTCCTCCTCTAGCTCCCTTTGGGGCCCAGTGTGTAGGAAACTCTCTGAGGAATTAATGGTGGAAGCTGCTTCAGGATGTCTGGGAACGTGAGGGAAGAGTGAAGGTGGGAGAGGGTGATCTCTCCACATCCAGCCTCTGCTCCTTTCTCTAATGGCTCTCTTCTTTGCTCCTGCAGCACTGCGGCTAGCTATGGCTTCAGAGCCCCTAATGTTTGTGGGCTTTATCTGCTTGGCAAAGGGTAGAAGAATAAGCTGGAGCCTTATCCCTCCCCCACTTCCCCGACTTCTCCCAGGAATTTGGGGGATGGGGCTTAGCCAAAGTTAATGGCCTGAGTCATAGTAGAAGAGTGTTGGGGGTCACTGTCTGTGTGTTCTCTGTACCTTGTTTTGCTCTTTGTGTCGATCAGAATCCACTGTGACTTATTCACTGGACCCATTTAAGTGTCTCTCTTTCTTAATCTTGGTGGTCAGAGCATCCTGCTTTCTGGGCTGCTGCATTTATACCAGATGTGGGAGGGGTGACAGTAAGGAAACACACACACACACACACACACACACACACACACACACACACACACTTTCTTTCTCTCTCTCTTTCGTTTTTTCCTCCCCCTGCCCCCTGCCTTTATTCAAGTACCTACTACCCATTCTATCTCCCTAGGCCTCCCAATGGTTAAGTAGGTTCTTCAGGAGGCAAAACCCCAGGACCACCAAGTACTTCATTTGAAAAAGCTATGTTGGGACCTGCAGCATTATTGGAGCAGAGTCAGTATTATTTTGGGTAGCCCAGGATTCCTTTGATATCTGAAGAGGAAGAGCAGGTCTCCCCTTAGTTTTGGGAGAGTCTCATAAAGGAAAATGGAGAAGGGAGGTATGTTCTCTGTGGCCAGTGTCTCTCCAATATAACTATGGCAACAATCCCCAGGGGTGTCACCATGGAAATCAGGCCTCCTGCTTTGAAGTTCAGCATCTACCAAGCGCTTTACTAAGGGTTGAAATGTTGGTCATCTTTGGACCCTGATTGTAGGCCCTCCCATTAGCTTTAGTCAGCACACTAATGGAAAACTACAGGTAGGTGCTGGAGACACAGATGGACAAAGACACAACAGGAGTGGGGTCAAAGGACAATGGAGAGCCCTGGTCTGCGCGACTGAGGAGAGGCTCTCTGGAGAAGGCTGTGAGGCGTGCTTAGACTGCTGTGGGTGGGAGAGAGAGTGGGTCTCAGGGGCATTCCTCCAAGGCAGAGGGCCTCCCTGAGCTTTTCTGAGGTATCAAGTCATTCAGTCTCTGATGTTGCACCAACTTATGGGGTCTTGGACTACCTGGAGGTAGAGATGATGAGGGAGGCTCCTAAGAGAGGATGGGTGGGTAAATTGCATACTTCTAAAAATGTGGTTAAGGTTGGAAAAAGGGAGTGATGAAGGGCTTTAATTGTGTCTGGAAACATTTGAAGAATGTCCAAATTGGGGGGAGGGGGTGCATATGGAAGAGGGGAAGGAAAAGCCATGATAAGGATCTGATGCAGTGTTGGCACTTCAGCTCTTGGATCACGTTGGCAGTGTGGGCCTGGAATCAGATTGTTTGGGTTTGAAACCATGCTCTAGCATATCTCAGCTGTGTGACTGTGGGCAAGCTACCTTACCTTTCTGAACCTCAGTTTCTGCATCTATGAAATAGAATAATAATAGCACCTACCTCCTAGGATTGCTGTGAGCCTTAAATGAGATAATGCATATACCTATCATAGTGACAGGTACATAATAAAAACTCCCGATAAGAGTTAGATGTTATTTTATATATGCTGTCTCCCCACAAGCTAGCCTTTGACACAGTTGGAAAGTGGTTAACATTTTCTCTTCTTACTGGTTGTTTCATCCAAACATCTGGGTCCTTAGTATCTTCTAGGTCTCTTCTTCTATCAGTATCTGTGCTAATTCAACAAATATTTATGAAGAATATCCTATGGGCCAAGGACTTAATGGGGTTTAGAGGGAATCCCTGCCTTCAAAAAACTCTTGGTCTACACGGTGATCCAGACTTTGGAGTGGTCTGAGCAGAGGCCTGGAAGTGGGCATCAGAATGGCTTTTGGGGTGCATACACTCCCCCAGGTTCTGACAAGAAACCCCCCACAACATACTACAGTGTGACTCAAAGCAATTGTGTGTCAGTTACTTTAAGATATGTAAGTAATGGTGCTGTTTCCCATGTGAGTAGTCTAGAGGCAGAAAAAGCAGAAAACCACTGGTCTAGTTATTTTCATAAAAAGGTCTAATGAAATGAATTCATCCTGAATATAATTAATAGAAAATTAAAATAAATTTACACTTTAACATTAATAAAAATCTTAAGATAAGGAAATTAACAGCTAGACTTGAAATTTAAGGGCTCAGCTAAGAGTAGGGAAGTGGTTACAGGCCTTCCCAAAATAAAACCCTGGAATTATAATCCGTGCCTATGGCTTTCCCTGCTCATGAGATTACAAAGTGCACCCATTTCTAGCTCTTGGATATTTTTTATCCTCACAGTACTGAGAACGCCACCCTTCCTCTGTCTCTGATCTCTTCTTTCTAGTCTGGGCTGAGGAAAAGGGGTTCCTCAGGCAATAAATATCTTCAGCACTTGGAGAGCGCCCTCCATTTTAATGCACCGGCAGCACCCTTTGGGATCCTTAACTGGGAGTGTTTTAGAAAGACAAACGCGCGC